AGGGACATTCCCAGCCCCTCCTGGGTTCTCTGGTGGGGTGGGAGAAGACGTAGGATGGAGCCCGCTTGGCCGGTTGGGGACGTTGGGTGATGGTGGCCCCCGTAGGGACATTCCCAGCCCCTCCTGGGTTCTCTGGTGGGGCGGGAGAAGACATGGGCTGGAGCCCACCTGGCCACCTGGGCTCATGGAAGGGGTGGTGGTGCCCACGGGGCCATCTCCAGCCCTTCCCGGACGCTTTGGTCCTCCTTCCCGCCTGCAGTTACGTGGTGCTGGACCTGATGGAGAGCGACCTCCACCAGATCATCCACTCGGCGCAGCCGCTGACGCTGGAGCACGTCCGCTACTTCCTCTACCAGCTCCTGCGGGGCCTCAAGTACATCCACTCGGCCAACGTCCTCCACCGTGATCTGAAGCCGAGCAACCTGCTGGTGAACGAGAACTGCGAGCTGAAGATCGGCGATTTCGGCATGGCCCGGGGCCTGGGGGCCGACCCGCGGCACGCCAAAGCCTTTCTCACCGAGTACGTGGCCACCCGCTGGTACCGGGCGCCAGAGCTGCTGCTCTCGCTTCACCGCTACACCCGTGCCATCGACATGTGGTCGGTTGGGTGCATTTTTGCCGAGATGTTGGGTCGCCGGCAGCTCTTCCCCGGCAGGAACTACGTCCACCAGCTGCAGCTCATCATGGCGGTGCTGGGAACGCCACCGGCGACCGTCATGGCCGCCATCGGTGCCGAACGGGTGCGGGCTTACGTGCAGAGCCTGCCGCCGCGGCCGGCGGTGCCTTGGGAAAGCCTCTTCGGCGACGCCGAGCCGGCGGCGTTGGCGCTCTTGGGTCGGATGCTGCGCTTTGACCCGCGGGAGCGGGTGGGGGTGGCTGAGGCGCTGCGGCACCCGTTTTTGGCCAAGTACCACGACCCCGAGGATGAGCCCGAGTGCGTCCCCGCCTTTGATTTTGCCTTCGACCGCCGGGCGCTCACCAAAGAGGAGATCAAAGCAGCCATCGTGGCCGAGATCGCCGACTTCCACGCCCGCCGTGACGGTATCCGGCGGCAAATTGCCTTCGCTCCGGCCGGCGGCACCGAAAGCGCGGCCAGCGGGGCTGGCGTTGGCGTCAACGCAGCCAACGGTGCCGTGACCAACGTTAGCGTCCCCGTGGGCGACATCAATGCGGCTAACGTTGGCGTCAACACGACTAGCGTCAGCGCGGCTAACGTCAACGTGGCCAACGCCAGCATCAACATGGCCAACGTCGCCATGGGCGACGTCACCATGGCCAACGTCGCCATGGGCGACGTCACCATGGGCAACTCCAGTGTCAACGTGCCCAATGCCGGTGTCAACATGGCCAATGCTACCCTGGCAAACGTCAATATGGCCGGCGTTAACATGGCCAACGCTGCCATGGCCAACATCAGCGCCACCATGACCAACAGCAACGTCAACATGGCCAACGCCACCATGGCCAACGTCAACGCCACCATGGCCAACGTCAGCGCCGTCAACGTGCCCAACGCCGCGGTGACCAGCGTTGGCCCACCCTGGCCCTGCGCCGACGTGGACATGCCAAGCCCCGGCCCCGCCCCTGCTCCTGACTGCCCAATGGACTCTCCCCGGGTGAAGGCGGAGCCGGGGGCCCCTGTGGCGCCCAAGCGGGACGGCGCCATCTCCGACGACACCAAGGCTGCCCTCAAGGCCGCTCTGCTCAAGTCGGCCATGAGGAACAAGAGCAAAGGTGAGGGGCACCCAGATACTTGGGTGCCCTGAAGTGTTACGGGCGGGGTTGGGGCTCCATCCCCGGATTTCTGGGTCCCAAGGATTGGTTGTGGTCGTGGTTGGGTCGGCGGTTCCATCCCCAGGCTCCTGGCTCCACAGAGTTGGGTTGGGTTGGGTTGTGGTTGGGTTGGGTTGGGTTGGTGGTTCCATCCCC